TAGAAATACCAATGCCCACTCTAATCAAGTGCAACCAGATTCCAAACCAACAGAGAAATGTTTGTCTGGGTAATATCAGATTGGTCTTCTTTCAAGACCCATGTCCTGCCAAATTGTCTCATTACCTCTTTTGAACAGTGCCCACATCACTACCATGTCAAAGAAAGACAACAGTTCTTCACACAAGGCAATAGCAAGGCCTTTAATTTCTAGGATGATAATGTCACCATTACACTGTTCGATGTAACAACTAAAGACTATGAGCAAGCAGTCACCATAGAAGACAAAGAGCTCCATTAAACTCTTGAATAAGTAGTTCTTTCACGACAATTCCAACAGCTGGGTGGCATCCCATACTTCACCTTTCTTTTCTCTTTTCTCTCTCTGCTACTCCATTATTCTTTCCTTTCTACTACCTGACTCTCATCCTGACCTTCTATTAATGTATTGGTACAAACTTGAAGGGTCCCCAAGCCTAACATGGATGTTGTTGGAAACTGGGAACCTTAAATGATTTTATGGTAATTTTTTATTTTGCCTTAACACGTTTTAGTTATATTACATACAATGTGTAATTGTCAGATATTCTGTGGTACTAGATTCTCTATGTTATCTAGTTAGGCATAGATGGGACCTTTCTGCACTATGAGTGAGAATTACCATACTCCTTAGGGTGCAGCTGACTATGGTTTATCCTTTCATTGGTGCCGGGTTGCTGCATGATGAGGAAGAGGGGGTAGGATACCTTCTTGCTGTCTTATGATACAATACTGTTATCTGACATCTATTTTGTTGGAATCTGTACCATACTGTCTTGAAAACATTATTAGAAAAAGAAATACTGAGATGAAAAAAAAACTTTTAGTTTTTGTTGAAGGTGTTTGGGATAGATTGTCCTGAGCCTGCACCACCTCTGAGGGAAGGAAATGAAGGTTGGTACCTCCCATGCGTTGGCATGTACCATCCTTGCAAGCCAGATCAGATCAGGATGGTCTTTGACTCATGTGCTTGATATAAAGGTGGTTGCATTAATTATATCCTTTTCGCTGGGCCTAATCTGAAAAACTTGAGTTTTGCTCCACTTCAGATGAGAACCTGTTGCTGTTATGGCCGACATTCAGCAAATGTTCCACTGTTTCATCATCTGAGACAACAGAAGACAACTTCCTCAGGTTTCTATGGTATCGCAACAACAATATCTGCATCAAAGTCAAAGACTACCGAGTGAAAGTACATGTTTCTTCTTCTGCTGTAGCAATTTATGGGTTGAGAAGAACAGCTCAAGAAAAAAAGAATTCAGATCTGATGCATGTGAATTTTTTTTTAAAAGAATTTTTCTGCCTACAGAAGAAGAAACAATTGATCTTCTCAAGAGAACTCAGGATGTTCTTGCCACTTCCAACCTCAGGCTTCACAAAATTATCTCTAACAGAAGTAATGAAAGCCTTTCCTTCTGACAACCATGCTTTAGTATAAAGGGATTCAAGCTAGAACAGGATCTTCCCCTTATTTAATGTAGTCTCAGATTGCTTTGGGATGTCAAACAAGGCATGTTCATTTTTTCAAATATCAACTTGTGACAAGCCCTTCATAATGTGAATAGCATCTAGGATCCTCTGGATTTCATAGCACCCTTTACCATTCAGGGTGAGATACTTCTAAGACTGCTTACTTCTGAAAACACAAATTGGGATACCCCTTTACCTAGAGAGAAACAACAAAGATAGGAATCATGGAAACAGTCTCTGAAAGCGCTAGAACAACTTTGGATACCATACTTTTACATTTATGCATCCCTAAAGAATGCCACTAAAAGAGAGATCCATGTTTTCTTTGATGCTTCCATTGAAGCAATAGCTGAAGTAGCCTACCTCAAAAATATACAGTAGATCCAAGAGATAAAGTAAGTTTGGGTTTTGTTCTCCGTAAGGCCAAGCTGACCCCAGCTGAAAACCAGCACATACAGTATCATTCCAAGGTTTCAACTCTGTGCAGCCATGTTAGCTGCTGAAATTGCTGAGCTTATAAATGTGAAATAGCATGGGATGTAGACACAACCAAACAATACAGTTCTATGTGTATGTCAATACCAGAGTAGAACACATCAGAAAGTTCTCCATTCCCAAGCAATGACATTATGTGCCTACAGACCTCATCCCCACTGAACACAACACTCGTACAGTACCAGCTGCTGCCTATCTGAACATTTCATGGTCGTCCCCTCCTGACTTCTTGAATGATAACCACATCACATTTCACACTGATTCAGCATTTGAACTGGTACTTCCTTTCAAAAGCAGGGAAGAAAGACTGGTGCATGTTGCTGCCTTCCCCTCTGAAGAACTTGATTGTACGGAAGGTAAGATAAATTGGGGTATGTTGCTGCCTTCCCCTCTGAAGATACACTTACAAATTGTATTCTGAACAATCTTAAGACACCAGTAATGACTTTCACGTTTTACAGTATGTTAATGTTTGCATTATTATTCTTTGTTCTCCCCTTTCTTCTCTTTCAGTTGTTTCTGGAAAAGAGTCATCACCTAATGTTTGGACTTGATTCTCAATTGTTTGTAGCACCCTCCTAGATAGGTGCTAGGATGTATATAGTTGAGTATAGTTAATATGGTCTTCTGCTTAACAGGAGATTGTTAGGCAAATTTAGTGTCTCTCGCTCTGATTAACAGAAGAGCTACAATTGTTTAGTTAGTTAATTCTGTGTGACTCACAGTGCTGCTGCATCTGGGTGAAGGTTCATCTTTATCCAGGTAACCAAGGACGTCTCTGGGCGGATAGTATGCACCATGCAGATAAGCAGAATGAATATGGATGCAGCTCCAGCCAATTACAGGGAGTGGAGCTCCTGAGTTCGCTGGGTGCTGGTATTTATATTCAGTGAGCACATGGGATTGGGGTTCTTCTTTCTCTTCTCCTCAGAAGGGAGTTTCAGCCAGGGAGTGGCTGCCTCCCCTAGAACATGATGCCAGGAGGCCTCGGGTGGGTGACCTGAGGGCAAGAGCACTGAAACTAGCGTGCTTCTGAGAGCTGACTGAGGGGGATGTCTACACATCCTGTCTGGCATCACGGAGGAAGGTAACCTACAGCGAGGGCCTTGAGAGTACAGGCCGTCCATAAGGGATCCTTGGACATGTGCTGTTTAATCCTCTCGGGACCTACACAGTCAGCTGCTGGGAGTAAGTTAGAGGGGACACTGGCTGGTGCCCCGAAGAGCAACTGTCCATTTAGTTCTATATTTGTTCCATTTTCTATATAGTCTGCTACACAGTTCTACTAATAAAAACCCAGTTCCACTTAAAGAAAGCTGTCCTCAAATGTGATAAGTTCAATTTGACGTATCCCACTATATCTCTTCCCTATCCTAGTTCTAAAAAAAATAAAAACAACAAAAACTACAACCCCTAGACTGATCATTGGAGTAACAAGTGGACGGTTTGCACATGGCCTTAGGAAATACTGTGTGCTTGGCTGCGGGTGAAGATTTAGGGGAAAGCCTGGGCAAAATACTAGCTTATTCATACAGGGGTAGCACTACATGTTTAATTTTTGAAATTATAGAATGTGACAGGAAATATCATGTTAAACATGCATTGTTATTAGTTTGCTTTTAAACAATTTTGTCCCTTCCTCTTTCCATTATTGGAGATGCTCTGTATAGCTTGAACCAATCTCAGTGTGTCTTTAGTTGCTGAGCAACGTAATTGTTAGGGGTAGACATACTATGATTTTGTTTACCTATCTGACGCTTATCTGTTATGATCTGCACAAGTGTTTGGATTAAAGCTTTCTACAATTCTACCTTTTTGACAAACCTGATATTTGTATTCATAACAGTGGAGTCCTGTGCCAACTGGCATCACCAACATTTTCTCATTGCAACAACTGGAATTACTCCAAGTGCCTACCTAACACCACACCAACCTAAATGTTGCCTGCAAAGTTCAGGTGGTTCTACACTATTGACTTTAGTCACTTTCTGAGGTAAGTATGCTAGACAATTGATAGTAGTGAGGGCTGAACCCAACCCAGGTACTAGATGCCTATGTTAACAAGGTCCTATGACACGCCAATCCCATCTATGCAATAGTGTGCAATTAAAAGAAAAATAAATTTTGTATAAACTTTTATACACACTTTTACATTATACATTTATAATAACTTTTGCCAAAATGGATGTTACATGTAAAATTGTGAAATACAGGAGGAGGGGCAGAAATTTAGATAGTGTAGCAATAGTATGGATAACAAGTTATTTTTATAGATTGAAGCAAATGCTTCAAAAGCAACAATGTACACAATTAATAGGTATCTGCTATTTTGCTCAGAACATTATAACTTGGGCGGTGTCCAAAGATCATTGATAATAGAGGTTGAACTACTCTGTCATCCACGACACACTCCAAGGGTTAAATCTTTTGACATTTGAGCAGCTTTCTCTCCTTGACTAACACCAGTTGCAAATAATTTCTTTTTTAAACAGTTACTCTCAACATACCTTTATTGATCTACAGAGGAAAGCTAATCCATTTATAAGAGTTGTGAGGATTTTAGCAAGTGACATCATATACTTGGCTGCTTTTTCAATTGAATATTGTAGTGTTACACATTTGTGAATATTTAATTTTCTTCAGATTGCATAACTAGTTGTACATTTTTATCAGTGTTTCTCAACCTTTTTTCAGTCAAGACACCCTTTAAAATTATGGACATTCTCAAGGCACCCCATGCTAAAGTGTAAAAAAGTATTCTAATAGTTTTACATAATGCAACAACATCCACACCCATATACACCCACAATGTTAGATTTATTCTTCCAAAGCAAATACACCTTTGTACCCTGGTACTGACTAGTATTCCAATGTTTCTCTTCTCCCTCAGTTTCTCTCCCTCACTCAGCTAATGTGACCCCAGTGCTGACAGAGGGGGACATGGGAGGGGCGAACAAGGATACTTGTGCAGGCAGCTGATGTCCTCTTTATGAACTTTATGATGTCAGATGTATTGGTTGTCAGGACGCTGAAGGCTAGAAGGCTATAATAGTGCACAATGAAAACCTATGACTTTATATAACTAAAAGGTAGGTTCAGGGGCGGACTGACCATTTGGAAACTCGGGCACTGCCTGAGGGCCCCGGGGTCAGTAGGGGGCACCATGAGATGCCCCTGGTACCTTTTTCATAGGCTTTTTTGAGTTTGGGCAAGGACACAGGGGCCCCATGATCCCCTATTGCCCGGGAGCCCCATGAGATGTCAGTCCGCCCCTGGGTAGGCTTGATCCACCTGCTGGCTTGTATACAATTTGTGGGCAATTTTTAGGCATTTTGCCAAGGCACCCCTGAAGAAACCTGAAAGCATCACAGGGTGCCTGGGTACCTTGATTGTAAAAGGCTGGTACATACAGTATCATATGACTTATTTCATAACTTTCCTTTTAGTTTTTAGAGAAACAGATGCAGTGTTCTGTAGAGGCAAAAGGCAACTGCAAAGGTGCACACAAAATTATATTATCAAGAATCAACTGTACAAATTTACAGGGGGCACGGATAGCTTTATCACAGTCTATGAACTGGTATGGGTAGCCAATAAGAGCAACACATGCACCAGGGGCGGACTGACCATTTGAAAACTCGGGCACTGCCTGAGGGCCCAGGGTCAGTAGGGGGCCCCATGAGATGCCCCTGGTACCTTTTTCATAGGCTTTTTTGAGTTTGGGCAAGGACACAGGGGCCCCATGATCCCCTATTGCCCGGGGGCCCCATGAGTTGTCAGTCCGCCCCTGACATGCACAGTTCTAATTTCATACTTGTGCAATCTTGATCTTCATACACATATAACAAAACCTAGTCTTAATAAATGATGTGAATCCCTTGGAAATTATATAGAATATAGAGTAGTGGAGGATATTTTGATTCTTTTTTAATATACTCTTCTTTGACTATTTTATTTAAGAGTAAGTGTCAGTACAATAAGAGGAAAATATAGCAACTACTGCAGTCAGGATTTCTCCTTTAACTTGTAGATGTAAAGAAAGCAGACTATGGATGGCACTGTTGAAGTTCAGATGGCCTTAAATACACTCTGTTCAAGAAAACCATGGAAGGTGGGGCTATGGGAACTTGTAGAGTATGAGCAGGTAGCGGTGGTTGAGGGTTCAATATCTAACGTGATCTGTGCGTTTTTATTTCTGTAGTGGCAATTTAAACTATGGATACAATGACTTTGGGCTGCATCCAATGTCTAGAGACAACCTGGGATGCAATAGTGGTACATGTTGGGTCATTTATCGAGCTTCCCTAACAGTCAGACATGTGGATGATGCCTGATTCCTGTGCAGTAGTGACAAAATGTTAAAGATGCTATACTACGCCTATTGTGGTCTCAATATTTAGTGACAGTGCTGCTGATTTCTAACCTGCAGTGAGCTCCTCAGATACCGGCATCTGTCGGTGTTGGAAGCCTTATTCACAGCTTACAGATGTCACATAATCTACTGTAGAGAGCTGCAAATGAGTTATTAGTAATGCAAGATTTCCTGTGCTGGAAGCTGAAAGCTGGTTTGTGCAGGATTGCTGCAGGCTAGAGGAGAGCAGCCGCACTGTTGTTAAATGCTGGGTCTGGCTCATGCTGTCTGCCTAGTAGCAGTAGAACCCCGTAGCCTTCAATGGTGCCAGATCACTAATGAACGTATATCAGGCTGGAACTAAGGGGAAACTAAAAGTCAGTTTTACACCCCGTTTTCTTCTTTTACAATAAGAATAGGGTTCAGTTGGAGTGCTTGCTACAAACATTGTTTAATGTCTGTCAAATGGTTCTAAAGGTTCAAGTTTTTTTACCTTCATGCATTCTATGCAGGAAAGTAAAAAACCTTCAGTGTGCAGCATCCCCCCTAATACTCTCCTAAGCCTCCTCTCGATCCAGTGATGTGCCCTGGAGTCTCAGCTATCCTGGGACTTCCTCTTCTCATTGGCGGAGACAGAAGCAGGAGCCGTTGGCTCCCACTGCTGTCAATCATAGCCAATGAGCCAATGAGAAGAGAGAGGGGGGCCGAGCCATGGCTCCGTGTGTGAATGGACACACAGAGCAGTGGGTGCCCCCATAGCAAGCTGCTTACTCTGGGGGTACCCGACAGGAGGGAGGGGCCAGGAGAGCTTGCGGGGGACCCCAGAAGAGGAGGATCTGGACTTCTCTGTGAAAACCATTGCACACAGCAGATAAGTATACACATGTTTGTTATTTTGTCTTTAAAAAAATAAGCCTTTAGCATCACATTAAGCATCCCAGAGTTCCTCCCTACTGAACCCATAGCTTATGTAGTTGGTGGCACCTGCTGTCAGGCTGACCTGTGAGGTCCCAGCCTGTGTTGCAGATCTGCTGTCACCAGCTCTTTCTGCACTGATCTAAGTAATCAAAATGTAAACAAAAATAGATACTTTGTAGCTAGCTGCAGGTGTCAGGCATAGCTATATAAATGTTTTTTTTTTACATGAGGGTTGTTTAAATATGTTGTAGAACTAGGGAAAATGTTTAGTTTTATTTTAAATAAAAATCTGTCCTGATAAAAATCATCTTTAATACCATGTTTCACGTTACATTCATATTTAGAGTGTAACATGAACCATGGACAGAGTCTGCAGTCCCCCACCCTCAAAGCCCCCTGCCTTCTCACAAAAGCTGGGGGTTCTTCTCCCTGACAGCTCCTTTCATTATTCAATCAGCATGGTTGTCCAGGGCTCAGCCCACATGGCTGCATCATCTATTAACAGGAAGACGTGAATGAAAAACTGCAAGTCCCACCTGCCACCAGCCATAATAGCTTTGCTGTATTATGCTAGATTTGATATGACATAAGTGGATATTTGGACACATTGTATAATTGTATTTACGGTATATGCCTAATACAACTTTATTGCAAAAGCATTTTGTTATGTGGTGGGCTTACTCTATATATATTTAAAACTATTGATGAGAAACACCCACAGTCAGTGACACATCGTGAGCTTGATATAAATACATGCTCCCTGTTCATAACTGTGTTCACTACATCTGATAGAGGGGAGTTTTCCAGAATCAACTTCCTTTGCAACTTTAAGATGCCATGTGATCAAATGTCAAGATCTGCAAATGAAGTTGATGCTAGAAGATGTGAAAATGTGTATAATAATAAACCATGTCCTTTAGGAGCACCCACCTTTGACAAAGCCAACCAGTCACTGAAGCACCATAGCACACTTTGCACAGTGCACATTTTTTTAGCCAACAAAAATCTGTACCTATCATGACCACTTGTTTTTTTTACCCCTTAGCCAAAGGTTTTCAAATCAGCCACCTGTTTTTCCCACCCTCCCTGGCCACCCATGTTAATTTAGCCTTTAAAGGTCAAAGGTTGCCTAACGTTTGACAGCTGCTGAACCCTACACATTAATGCCTATCTTCTAAGTCTGCTATGTGCGAGGGCAGAAGGGGCACCAATTGTCCTGACAATCCTTGCAAAAGACGTAGGCTTGGATAAGGCTAGTTTCATATCTAAGCATGTCGGGAATGTACGTAAAATTGCACACTTTCACCACAGAAATGCTTTGCCCTTTAGCAGAAGCACAGCAGTGCAGTAATTGTAAATGGCACCCCATGTATCGGTAAACATGCATGTTTTCAAGCATGACAAACTGCATGGTGCAGCACTTTCTTGGAAATGAGTCAAGGACTTTGTTTCTACACTTCTTGCACATAGGACAGCCCATTGAAATGAACAGGCTGGCATATATTTGACATGTCAGAATGCGCCCACACTTGGTCACAACTGTAGGTGCCTGTTACACCCATTCAGTTTCTTTTTTTTTTTCTTGTTCAACCCAGCGGGCTGAATGAAAAAAAGCAGAGAGATCGCTGTACTAAACAAGCAATGTTAGTGCAGCGATCTCTACCACTGTGCCTTTGTGTTCTGCCAGGGAGACTGCCCCCCACTGGAATCACTAATCAGCCCTGGCTGCTGATTTTCCAGCATGTCCCTTTGAAAAAAGCTGCTCCTTAGATGGCTTCTGTTGCAAAGACTGCTGTTCATATGGTCCGAATGTCAGCCAGTTCCTGCTGAACTGGCCAATATTCAAACTGTGTGCACCCAGCTTAAAGCAGAGTTCCACTCACCCTGTCAAAAACTAAAAGTCAACAGCTACAAAAACTGTACCTGCTGACTTTTAAAAAATAGCCACTTACCTGTCCCATGATCCCGCAGTATGTCCCCTGCAGCCCATTTCACCGGCCATCCTGTATTCCAGGAGGCCGGCATCTTCAGTGTGGGCACCCGGCTGTGATAGCTTGTGGCTGCGAATGCGCAAGTAGTGCTGTGCTTCATGAATGGTCCTGTAGTCTTCTGGGACCTGTCACGTGTCCCAAAAGACTACAGGGAGGGAGGGAGGGAGGACATCTTCCGCTTCCAATCGCCTAGGCAATCGGACCGGAAGTAGGAGCAGGTACCTGTCAAATTCGGGTACCCGCTCCCCCCCCCGCCCCCAAAGGTGCCAATCCTTAATGGGGAGCAGTCCTTAAAGCGGAACTTCCCCTTTTGGGTGGAGCTCCGCTTTAAGAGGGAATGTAAAATATGTACAGTTATAATAATGAAAGACTGATTTCCGCATAACCCTAACCAAATCAGGTTCTTTTTTAAACTCTAAAGCAGAGTTCCTTCCAAAAGGGGAAGTTCTGATTTAATGCTTTGTCCCCCACTCCCCATTAAGGATTGGCACCTTTGGGGAGCGGGTGTCAGGGATCCTGTCACCGTGCAGCCTTCTGACAGCGACGGATCCCCTCGAGCCACGGCGGTGCAAGTGCGCAGGCGCGGGAGCGTGCGGCCATGCAAGCGCAGTAAGCGTACACGTCACGTCAGGCGGGCTATTTAAACCTGCAGGATTGTAAAATCAATGCCTTCTGGTCTACAACGTTCCTGCACATATTCCTGATCCTGTTACCTGTATTCTGATTTGCCTGACTAAGAAAGAACTCTGCCTGCACCGACCTCGGCTATCCCTGACCATTCGCTTGCCTGCTCCCTTTTACTTTATCTGCTGCTTGATACTGACCCGGCTTGTCTGACTCTGCTACATTTACCTACCTGAACCTGCACATGGCTTACATCCTGACAGCTGCCATACTTACCTGCCGCTGCACCCACGGTCCTGCACCTGGCCTGCATCCTGGTCACTGCCATACCTGCATGCTACTGCACCCAGGCTCCGGTGTCCAGTCCAAATCTGCACCCTGATTGCCGCCATACCTGTCTGCTGCTGCACCTACGTTCCTGCACCCGCACCTGGCCTGCATCCGGATCTCCTGGGTCCCCAGCTACCTGCCGCCAGCTCTAGACCCACACGGCACTCGTGCCACTCCTGGCTCTGTGCCCTCTGTTCCCACTATCAGGGGCTCTGAGCGGGAGTTGAGCGGGAGTTGTAAGAGGATGCCCTCTCTCCACATCAGGCTCCCCAACCAGGTACGTGACAGCAGGTACCCGAATTCGCCTAGGTGATAGGAAGTGGAAGTTGTCCTCCCTCCCTGTAGTCTGGGACACATGACAGGTTCCAGAGGACTATGGGGCCATTCACAAAGTGCAACGCTTTTTGTGTATGTGCAGTGGGAACCCAGCTGTAAAGCCGCAAGCTGTCACAGCTGGGTGCCCACACTGAAGATGCCGGCGCCAGGGAGAGAAGACGGCCAGTGAAACCAGCGGTTCTGAGGACACCGCTGGACCAAGGGACAGGTAATTGTCTGT